GATCCCTCAGCCCTACCTAAGCACTAGCAATTTGATCCCTGAGCTTTACCAAAGCATCAACTTCATAAATACGAAAGCTTTACCTAAGCATCAGCAGTTTGATCCCTGAGCTTTACCTAAGCATCAGCAGTTTGATCCCTCAGCTTTGCCTAAGCATCAGCTTCATATGAAAGGTTTTCCTAAGCATCAGCTTTATAAGTAATTAAGCAAAGTCTTTCCCATTTATGAAGCTGATGCTTGGGTAAAACTTCCGTGCTTGTGAGGTTGATGCTTAGGTAAAGCTCAGTGATCTATTTGCTGGTGCTTGGGTAATGCTGACGGATCAAACCGCTGATGCTTAGGTAAAGCTGAGAGCTCGCAGCTTCTCCCAAGCATCATTTTCAGCTTATTGGCTTTCAGCTTTCTTCGCCTACGCATCAGCTTTATGAGTGGCGATGTCCCCTATTCATGGCGGGTTTTCCGCTTGCTTTTCTTGCTTTTATTTTCTTTGATACTTGTACTTTTTTCCTTCTTTTACTTTCTTTCCTGCTGGTATTTTCTTTGCTTTTATTTCCTTTCTTGCTGGTACTTTTTCCTTGTTTTCCTCTTTCCAATCCATCACCCTTTTCCCTCTCCCTTAAGTGGCCTAGGCAGCTGCCAAAAGATCTATATCACGTAACTGTTCGGTGTATTCACCCGACCCGTCCCCCCTGCCTCGAGTCTCTGCGCGCGAGGCCCGCACATGCCGTCCCCTTTCCCCGATCGCCTATCACAACCCCCTTCCCGCGTCTCGAATCCAGCGCCCAAAAGTGTGCTTATGCACTGCCAGTCCTCTTCCCCCCTCCCCTCTACCTTCTATACTCTCTGCGGTATATCCCCCTTCCGAGCACTTTCCATACCCCGTGCATTTGCGGCAAAATCAGCACACGGATCCTTCTCCCATCCGCCCATCAGCCCCTCTCCCCTACGTGGCCGCGCCACGTTCCCACTCAACTCACCCCAGCACCATTCCGTATCCTTACTCCCCCTCTCCCCGCTTTCCCCCATCGCTCCCTTTCCCGTCCGTCCCCATTGCCCCCTACCTCCCCCCATCCCT